TTTTTTGTTTCCTCTCCATTTTTTTCTCTGTCACCCGTCCTCTCCCCCCCCCCCCCCCCACACACACACACACACACGCACACACACACACACACACACACACACACACACACACACACACACACACACACACACGAGACCCTTCACATGGGCAAACGCCTCAAAGCTTTCAAAGTTATTGGCTTTGTTGGTTTTGAGGACATGGGTGTGGGCGCAGCCGGTTGTCATAGACACACAAGCGCGTGTGCGTGCGAGCGTGTCTGTGTGTGTGTCTGTGCGTCCATAACCTTGAAGAGACAATGAGAGTTAATCACAGTCGCAGAGAGAGAAAGCAGGATGAGGGAGAGATGACGCCGAAGAACGGCGCTGGGTAAGTAGGAGGAGGATGAATGTGTATGGATGTTTATTCATGAAACGTGTGTGTGCGTGTGTGTGTGCGTGTATGCTTGTGTGTGAGTACAAGGCCAGTTGGTAGGTTCTTAAAGGGCAACTCCGTGCATGTGAATAACTTTGAGCTAATAACTGAATAATTGTTGTTCCCTCAGAGGTCACGAAGGAATCTGCTGAGAGTGAGAAGCAGAAGCTGAGGAGAGCTGGCGTTCTCCGAGAAGAACAAAGTCGTGTTATTTGGGCAGCAAAATGTTAGGTAGGCTGCAGGCCAGTCTGAAAAACTCCATCCTCCACTCTGACTGTGGTGATGAGCAAAGCTGAATTTTCACACATTCTGGAGTTGGATTAGAAAGACTGAACATCTCCGTAGAATAAGAAGCAGAAATAAGCAGTTTGTTTCAGTTATTCTGCAAAACTGAATTATTTCTCTAAAGAGCTTTTTAAAAGTCATGTGTATTGTAGTAGGCTACATTCACACAGCAGGCAAATGTGCCCCAAATCCCCTTTTTTTTTTTTTTTTGCCCATATGTGAACTACGTCCGATGTTTCCACGGCTTTAGATCAGAATGGTTCAATTAAAAAAAATCTGACTTGTGTGTGCCACTTCCATGCTACTAAGCTGGATAAATATCTAAATGTTTTCTAAGCGTCGTGTCGCATTTTAGCAGAATTAAGATGTGCGTCATAATTACGCAGCAGAAGAAGTCTGCATCAGTGCATCGCATCACAGCCCTACCACTCTTGGATCTGACTGACCATTCCCATCAGTTGTGTTTTCTGTCCATTAGCTTCCTTCATCTTGTTATGATGTGATGATGCTGTCGGCTCCCGTTGCTGAGTAACCTTAAAAACTGAGTCGTAGATGGTGGCGGCCATTATTGCTTCCATAAACAACGCGCCGCTGTGTGACATCTACATTCTTCTTCTACGTTTGCAGAGTTGCAATTCATCCACACACGAGTTAATACTAACCCTAACACTGGAACTGAGCATCCTGACCTGCTGTATGAACGCAGCTTTAGACTGGAAGAAACGTTTTAAAACTAGCAAATATATCACCATCCAGCCTTGAAAAGGTTTGCTTGTACTTTTTCTAATTTTGTCAAAAGCTTCTATGTATTTAATTAGTACTAGTATTAATTAGAGGGTGGCATAAGTTTAAAGTCAGCCCCACTTTACTCTGATACCCCTGTATAAAATCCAGCACAACCATCAGCCACCAGTCACCATCAGAGTCCACCAACATGTGATTTAATGACCTCCTAACAGAACAACAGCTCAATAAATCTGAGCCTAAATACGACACAAAAAGCAGGAAAGGCTTGGTGTTCCTCAGCTGAGGGTTGGAACCGACCAAGAGCCTCTGGGCAGCACTAAAGATCGGAAGCATTTTTAATAAATCGTTAAATTTGATCCAGTGAGAACTTCTGCAGGGGGATTCGATGCAGCCTTTACCAAGCTAACAAAAAGTCACTGGCATGTACAGCTCTACACGTTTAGATTTAGGAGTCAGAATGACGGGACGCCTTCAGCGTTATCTTATGTTTCTAAAGAAAACAAGCTTGGTGCATTTATGGCTGTGCTTGTTTACACACACGTCTTAAAATGTCGCAGGGAATCTTCCCCAGTGACACTACAAGACTGATGTACTTGAAACGAAGTAAAAAGGAAGCGCTCGAGTGACGATGTAGACACTCTGTGCAATCAGAGCAGCTACGATCACGCTCTCAGTAATGACAATTATGTTTTCCAAATGTCCCAGATAATGGAGCAGCTGCTGTTTTTGTTAATGAGAACAGCGGAGCTGCCGCTGCCTCCGAGGTGTGCTTCACTTGCAGTCATCGCCTGGAGGAAGAACGTCCTGCCTGTGATGGCTCTTCCTCACAGCCCGGATGGAGTGCTGCCGGGTCGGGGCTCAGGTTTTCAGCAGTTCATGTGCTGCCCAGGTATCACTGATCAGTCCAGACGGTCCGGGTCCTCTGGGAGGAAATCAGGACCAAAAATCCTCCAGGGCTGAAGATGATGTGGGATTAAAAGACAAGCTAGGAAACAGGCAGGATTTTGATCTCTGCATCTTTTTCACTTGAATTCAGTGTAATCAAAATGTTAGGTTGGGGTAGGTGAGAGGTTGTAATATCTACGATGGGAATTAAATATTCATGTTTAACCTCCGGAGAGGAGATGTGGAGCAAAATCTTTAAACATGATACAAGTTAGGGTCTAATCCCTAACTTAATCCCTAAATTAGGGTCTAATCCCACTCCTTCTGTAGCAGCAATCGTTTTTGATACAGGCGACGTGGCTCTCTGCCTGGGGCGGCCCATGATGCTAAAAAAGAAACCAGTCAGTTTGGCTGTGAAAGGGTTTTCTATTGGTGATGTATCTGCATGTTCAGGCAACAGGAATGTTTGCCACGCAAATGTTGCCAGTGACCCAGAATGCCTCTCATGCAAGAACCACCAGTGTGTCACAAAGGGCTCACAGTGTGCTATAGTTCTGTCCTGTATAGAACTACTGAGAGCACTATGGGTTAAAAAAAGGAGAAAAAAAGTTTTTTTACCCCAGTCATGGTGGTAGGCTACGACACTGTAAGCACAGCTGCCCTCGTGTAGCCTGACAACCACCATCAGATTAAGTGTCACAAAGTCTGAGACAGACGGAGCGGGGCTTTGAACCAGCAACCCACCGGCGACAGGACGACCTTCGCCCTCAGACCTGGAGAGGCGGCTAGATGAACAAGAGCCGGAGGAGAGGAATCCTCACAACGTCAGAGACGTAGAAGTTCACTGTGGTTGAGGGAATGTACATCAACCCAGCAGACGTCTTTCTGTCTTCTCCCCGAGTTGCTCAAGCTCCAGGACAATAAGATTTTCTCTGTGCTGTAGACATCAGGAAGCTTGCTCCACTTCTCTCTGCTGTTGATTTGTTATTATTAGGAGTTTCCAGCTGGGGAATCAATGATAGTTCCTTTATTATTGTTTTTTTTTATGCCGTTGAGGTTTTGCTTTATTACCTCTTTCCACAACCTTTGCATTAGATCCACTAGAGCTGAACCGAATTTGTGTTTGCGTTGTTGCACTGACAAATGATGCGCGTTTTTTCTTTGGAGTTTTATGTGAATTAAAGCTTCACTGTCTGGACACTGACTGTGTTTTTGGATGCTGATTGGGGAGAAGTTGAGATGGCGCCATAAATCTGCTATAGATGACCCTTAGCTTCCACTTCTCTAGTTTCCAGCTCAGTTAGAAAACAGCAACCATCTCCACTGGACCAAATTATCATGCGACACATACAGTCCTTATCAGAAATTGCATTAAACTGAACAGGTTCAGCGCTACAGTCTTGCGTTCTGTGTATGTGAGCTTTCACACCTGCAGAGTTCTTCATCCTGTAGCCTAAACTCAAACGGTGCACTTCATGGGCATAACCGAAACTTTTCCAAAAAGTTTCACTCTGAGACCTGGAATCAAAAAGTGTCTCTGGTCTCTGGTGTCGTGTAAATGAGCGGCTGGATCGCAACATATGTGTTACTGTTTAACGGAAGAGCAGCTTCCTATAAGCAGCTGCTTCACATTGAGAGTCAGAGGTCAGTCTATGGTCTAACATGTTGCTATGGATTTTTCCCCAGTGTGTGGATAAACCAGCAACTATCCAAACGTGGAAAAAGGATTGAGTCTCAGTCTCAGTATCAGTCAGAGTGAAGCAGAGTGTGTGTGACGTGTCCAGGTCTCTGTGTGTGACGTGTCCATGTCTCTGTGTGTGACGTGTCCAGGTCTCTGTGTGTGACGTGTCCAGGTCTCTGTGTGTGTTTGTCAAACAACACCAGGACCGATGCAGTGGGTCCTGAGCTCTGTGAGGCTCTGTACAGCTTAACATGTGAGTTTAAGTCTTATCCACATGCACAGAGCAGCTCTCATATTATCATGACATCCTTCCTGTTGATGAAGTTGAAGACTCATACTTCTTTGAATTTGAATTTTGAATAAAACACTTCAATATGTAGGTTCATGTTCCTTTTTGGAAAATCATGACGCTTGCTTTAGAAAGTCTTGTTGAGGTTTTCATGTCAGGAATCCAGTTCAGAGTTATGGAAGAAATAAATGGCTTCACAATTTAAACTAATAATTCTTTGAACGATCCTCTGTATTGTGAAGTTTCTGTAGAAAAATCTCACTGCATTTGTCTGATTTCTACAAACAGTCTTCATTTCAGCAGTGAAAGAAAAGTGTTTGTCAGTGTTCTGATGATGCTGACCACCAGGTTGACCTTGTTTCAAACAGCAGTGTGTGTTTGGAAAAGCCCTGATAAGAATATTCATAAGCTGCACTGTAAACAGTGTCGCTTTAAGCAGGTTTTATAAACATCATCAGAAGCAGCTCTGAGAGACACACTGACCTCAGTTTTATAAAAAAAAATCAGATAACAGACAGTGAGCTGTTTCTCCTGCAGAAGCTGTCTGTTTTTATTGTATTACTTTATAAGCTAAGCAGATAAAAACTCACTCAGAATTTTAAACACTGAGTTCTAGGATTGTCAGAACACTAAAATTCAAAATCAGCACCAATACTAAGAAAAATACTCGACATCATTTTGGATCTGCCCAGGCACAAATATATTCAATGCATCCAAGTGACATCCTAGGTTGGTAAAATGGCAGGTGAAGCTCAGGAGGATGACCTTTTATGTTTTATAGAAAAAGGGAGAAAAAACTGAAAGTATGTCATCAGAACATCTGAAGATTAAGACATTAGAAATATAAGATTTAATTTTCTGACCTCAACCACTTGAGCAATATCCTCCTTTAAGATGATCCAAAACAGTAAATCAATTGTTAAAAAAAACAGGGGTTAAAGGTCATATAGACTTTGAAACGGATCAAGATGCTGAAAAGGTAGTCTGATCACTAGCCACCAGCTCCACTAGGTACCACCTCCACTAGTCACCAGCTCCACTAGTCAACACATCCACTAGTTACCAGCTCCACTAGTCACTGGCTCCACTAGTTACCACCTCCACTAGTCACCACCTCCACTAGTCACCAGCTCCACTAGTTACCATCTCCACTAGTCACCGGCTCCACTAGTCACCACCTCCACTAGGTACCAGCTCCACTAGTTACCAGCTCCACTAGTTACCACCTCCACTAGTCACCAGCTCCACTAATCACCAGCTCCACTAGTCACCAGCTCCACTAGGTACCACCTCCACTAGTCACCAGCTCCACTAGTCAACACATCCACTAGTTACCAGCTCCACTAGTCACCGGCTCCACTAGTTACCAGCTCCACTAGTCACCAGCTCCACTAGTCACCACCTCCACTAGGGACCAGCTCCACTAGTTACCAGCTCCACTAGTTACCACCTCCACTAGTCACCAGCTCCACTAGTCACCACTTCCACTAGTTACCAGCTCCACTAGTCACTTGCTCCACTAGACACCAGCTCCACTAGGTACCAGCTCCACTAGTCACTGGCTCCACTAGGTACCGGCTCCACTAGTTACCAGCTCCACTAATCACCAGCTCCACTAGTCACCAGCTCCACTAGTCACTGGCTCCACTAGTTACCAGCTCCACTAGTCACCAGCTCCACTAGTTACCACCTCCACTAGTCACCACCTCCACTAGTTACCAGCTCCACTAGTTACCACCTCCACTAGTCACCACCTCCACTAGACACCAGCTCCACTAGGTACCAGCTCCACTAGTTACCAGCTCCACTAGTTACCAGCTCCATGCGCCGCCGGCTGCTGTCCTGCTCCCTCTGGCTCAGCTCGTCCATCTCCAGCCTCATCTCCTGCAGCCGCTGCTGGTAGTATCGGGCGTGTTCCTTCTCTCGAGCTTCGGCCTGGGCGCTCTGCTCCAGCTCCTCTCCCAGGCGAACCACACTGTCCCTCAGACGCAGCACCAGCACCTGCAAAGTACACAAAATTAGCAGCCAAAACCGGGCATGGACTAACTACAGCATCAGACACGTTGATAATTATGTGTTGGAATTGGAAAAGCTTTATCTGATCTCACCTCAAACCTCTTGACTTGCCCCTTCTGAAACTCCAATTTGTTTTCCAGGTCACACACACGGGCCTCCTGTTTGCTGACTATGCTGCGCCCCACAGTGGACGACTCCAGGAACTGCACCCTGGACAAGCACTGCTGAAGCTGCAGGTGGAAGATGCGGAAAGGCCGGGGTGAGATGAACGCATTTAAATTCAACGCGACCCACGAGAAGCGGCGCTCCACCTGCTGCTCGCCGTTCAATTAAGGAGCGCAACAAGGACGTTAAATGACCCAGAAAGCCATTACAATCTCATCTGCAGAACTCCCAGCAGCACATTCACTTCATAAAGCTCTTAGTGTCGAGTTTATTTTCTGCTCATCAAACATATATCACCTCCTCTTGGAGCGAGCGTCTCTGTTTCTTCACCTCCTCCAGCTCAGCTTGCAGCTCTCTGATCTGAGAGATGTCACTGGAGGACTGAAGGGGACAAAGTGGGACTGAGACTTTTTCTCTTTTTTTTATTCAGGTTAGAAATAATGCGATAAGTGAAAATAATAATACTTGTGCAATAAGAGCTTTGTGTTTCTTCATCAGCTCGTTGAGGTCTTCCTGGTCTTCCTCCAGCCTCTTCAGCAGATCCATCTTCTCATGCTGCAGCAGCGCCAACTGTTCATCCACCTGAACTCACACAGGCATAGAAATACAATAAAAGAGATATTTGGACTAAATCAAGAGAAAATATAATCTTTAATATAGTTTAATATCTAAAAAAAACATAGAATTCCTGGGAAATCTTCACTCATGGTTATTTATGGTTTAATAAAGCTCAGATTGAAAATGTATGAAGTTTATAATAAACTCCTTCAAGGTGTAAGCAGAAGAGGTTCAAAGTTAAAGGAACAGATTGAATGAACAGAGACGGGTTTGTCCAAAAAACTAAAAGTTGGGACAATTATTAAAAACAAATGTACATCAGATGGACAGATTCATGTAATTCTGAGGAGTGAAAAAATAAATAAATAAAAATCATTTGTTAAACAAATACTATAAGGTTTGGTTATTGAGTTTGTCCAGAGATTTTGCTAGAATTTCGTTTTGATCTGTTTTGGAAAAATATTCAGGAAAGATGCTCCTACTTATATTGATAATGCTAAAAGCTAAAAGCTTAGCTTCTATACTGTCTTAATCTGTACTTCGAGTTCTCATTTTTTCATTTGTTTTATGTCTGTTTTTTAAATTTTTGAATTGAAAAAAAAAAAAAAAAAAAAAACTGCCACTTTTGAGTTAGTCGAGATTGTCTGCCCAGATGATTCATGGGTTAAAAATCCTGTTTTAGAACCGGGCCGGTAAAAGGATTTAACTGAAGAATATATGAAATGGAGTTAATATCCATAAAAGTCTAGAAGAACTATCACACATTACAGTCTGCTCTGGCATCTGCTGTCTGAGGATGGTGGAGTTGGTTTCCACCAGTCTGTTGGGTTTGAACCAGCATGCAGTCACTCACCACACTCTTCTGCCTGCAGATATTCTCCAGTTCCAACTGGGCGTTCTCCAGCTCCATGGCAACGGCTTTCTGCGTGTTCTCCGCCTCCAGCCGCCTTGCCTCGCTCTCCTCCAGCTGAACGGAAAACGCAGAGGGTGAACACGGAGCGCCGCGGTGACTCCCGGTGGAGCGCGGCCGAACGCCACCACTCACCTGGCAGTGCAGGCGTTCGATCTGGTCTTTGCTGCCGTTGGGACGGTTCTGGCCTGAGCTGTCCAGGGTGGCGAGGAGCAGCTGGGCGTCGGCCAGCAAGGCGTGGGTTCTCTTCAGGTCTCTCCTCAGCTTCCTCTCCACATCGAAGTCTCTGTGTCCCACCTGCAACGTGACACCACTTAGATTCTTTCACTCCATAAACAAAGAGAATGGTTCGAGGGTTTGGTTGGCACCATGTCTTCATCACACAAAAAGCATCCGACAACAAATAAATGCGATTGCCAGGTTTTAAAATAAAATCATCTCATCTCTGAAGAAGCCAGTCTGTAGGTGTTCCACAGGGAACTATCCTCGGATCTTTTTTTATTCCTTTATCTTAAATGGAAGTGTTGTATAAAATCCAATATTTTTTTAGCTTTACATCATGTCATAATGTTATTCTCTCATCAAAAACATACCTGGTTCTTACTTTGGTTCTTTCATACATATCTGAATCTCCAGTGGCAACCGTTCAGAGGTGCCTATGTGCCTGCCTGCTTTTATACCCAGCCAAGCTTACAGAGACAGAGGCCCAAAGTCAAGGCATCAAACTGCAAAGCCATATTTCTTTGCAGTTATGCTTGACAATATATTTACAGCATTTTCATAACAATTTACTTGATTGTGCTATAAAAAGACATTATGAGCTTGGAAAATACAGTAAAGACCTTCCATTACGACATTAAATCTGTGACGTTCAAATGTATGCCGATGACACTGTAGTTATCATGTATCAGAGTGACAGGCTGTAAATAAGGCAGGAAGCATACAAGTTAATTATGTTCTGTTTTGATTTTGAAGTTGTAATGTAGCCAAAGAGTTTTAGGCTCAAGAGAAAAAAGCTTGTGATGGTATCTGGTCACAGAGCTTCAATTTGAAAGATTAACCTAATCACAGGTCAATAGAAGCTGCTAAAATGAACTTTATGATTCATTTATAAACCATTTTATGCTTAACCTCCTGATCGCATGCTTCATTCAAACCATAATGATTATTAAACACATAAAAAGGCAGAACAGAGTTTTTAATATTGTATCTTAGACTTTTTCTTACCAAATGTCCTGAGAAGTCCTGCTTTTCTTCCCCAGCAGCAACATTTGAATGCCTGTTAGACCCAGACTGCAGATGACTTGATCCTGAACGGTTTGCCAGCTTGGCTACACACCAGGTCCTGTTCTAATTCCAACCTTGGTGTGAATGAGTGTTAAATCAGCTCTTCCCCTCTATGCTGCATTTGTTTGTTTCATGGTGGCTGGACTGCAGCAGCAACACATCCAGGCTCCATCAGAGCATTAACCTGCTTTAAGAGTGATTTACGACGGAGCGCTGGCAGGAAGCGGGCCGCTGACAGACACACAGCTGTAACATTTGGCTTCCGAGAAGTTTTAAAGTTCAGTTAATTTAATTAAAATGATTATCCAGGTAACAAACGAAGCAATAAAGTAACCTTGATGTTCAGATATAAATTAGTACCCATATGGACATAGAGAAACTGCAAACACTGAAGGATCTAAGCCTCCTACAGGCTGCTCTGTCCCTTCACTTCATCTCCAGGAAATACACACACACACACACATATATATATATATATATATATATATATATATATATATATATATATAAGCACAGACCATATATAGTATATACAAAATGTATTGTAATCACAACCAAAAAGAGCACTATATGTTTAGATGTAAAATATGATACAAGTTACTATTAATATACACTTAGAAAATATATTTACCAACATATGACTGGAAATATAATTCAAAATATTCTAATTTTTTTTTCTGATACATTTTCAAATATATGTTGTATATATATTAAATTATATATTGATGATGCATGTATTACACAATATAATACAGTCATGAAATAAATTGAAATATATTGACAAACATATTTGTAACTCTATTACATATATGACCAATACATTTTACTATATAAATCATAGTACATGATGGTGAATATTTATAAACATAAAAAATACAGTGATACACAAAGCCATACATGATATTCATGTTTAATATTTTACAATAAAGGGTTAATGGAAAGAAGCAACCATTTCAAAATATTATGTGAATAATGTAACATGTTGTTTAATACAGAAATCATCAATATGTAATTCACTGTATTTATAACATGTATTAGAAAATGTGTTGGGAAAATAATATATTAGAATAAATTACAACACCAGTAATACAACTGGTAGATATGTTTTTCTTTCATAAGGCTGAACACTGGATGAGCATGTTATAAGTTAAAAAGTTTATTCCACTTCATAACTCAAAGCTTTAAATCAATAATTACTGACTGAAAATGTATTTGTAAGTTAACTGTCTTATTTCAAGTGATCTGAGATATTTACACGAGAAACTAGATACAAATAAACTGGGTAAGATTGAATGTTTTCTATCTCTCCTCACTTGTAGGTGTGTTTAGGAGGGAGCTCACCTGCTCACACAACGTCGCTATGAGTCCCTCCAAGTCGTGTTTCTCATGAATCACCATCTGCTTCTCCTCGTACTCCTGCTCCAACTGCATCTCCAGCTGCTTCAGCTGCACAAATACACACACACACACACACACACACACACACACACACACACACACACACACACACACACACAGGATTTCAATCCAGGACAGCAGAGAGTGGTCAGTGTGTTCATCCAACCTCTGGAGTTCTACTAGGAAGAAGTGCTAGAGAATTTTCTTCTTTCTAACAGCTGCTCCAGCCACTCCAAACCCTGGCTTTCTAACCAAACGGTCAGATAGAGGTTTAAAGCAGAGTGGCAAAAGCAAAAGAGGTGGATTAGCAGTGCTAGCCAGCAGCTAGTTATGTCACCCAGGACGTGTTGCTGTGGAATATCATCTCTCCTGCTCAGAAATTGAGCTGTTAGCACATCATGACGGTCAGACTGTCTGTCTTCAATCAGAGGCCTCTTCAGAGTCTTTGCAAGACTGACTGCTACCGGAATTCCTTCCATCGTCCACAATGACTCTCTGAAGGAACTTGGATGACATGAGTGATGACAACATTTTACTTCTTGTTTTTGATAAAGTATTTTTGAATTTTTAAAAAGGAGCAGCTGTCAGGAGGTTTAGAGTGCTAACATCCCATATAAAACATGTGTTATATATATTACTGAATCCTGAGCAGACATTGGAGCAAACATCTGTTCATCATGTAAATCTGCCTCCCCTGTCAGACCCACCCGTCTCTGGGAGGACTTATGAACGTCCTCCAACTCTTCTTCTTTATCCTCCAGCTCCTTCTGATGCATCTGCTTCATCCTCTCCACCTCTATCTCGAACCGCATGTGGATCTGTTGGGTGAGAGGTGCAGATGAGCCGCGGCAGCCGGCAGACGGGTTTGTGCCAGCCCTGCGCCGCGCGCCCCGTCGACCTGCTGCTGCTGCTGGATCTGGGCGGACAGTCTGCTCGTCTCCTCGGCTCTCTCGCTGGCCTGGCTCTCCAGGAGGCGGATCTGTTTCTTCATGTCAGGCACCGAGTCCGAGGCCAGGTCAACCGGCAGGCTGAGGTCTCTGATCTGAGCGCACAACTCCTCCTTCTGCTTCTGCAGGCGACTCATCTCAGCCTGGCTCTCCTGCACACACACCAGGAACACAAACAGAGAAAATATGGAGGCTGAGCCTGACCAGCTGGAATGAATCAGAAAACTATCCAATGACTTCAAATTAAAAGTCTGAGGTAGTATCACTAGGCCTGTCACAACAACAAATTCTGCTGACTGATAAATTATCCCAGAAGTTATTGTGATAAATGATAATATTGTGTTTTTTTTTTTTTTGTGGGACCATTTACAAGTAAAATAATGGTAATGCAAGAACATATTCTGAAAGATCAATAAAAGATCAATAATGAAATGTAACACATTTTCCAATATCCTAAATAAATAAATAAACAAAACAACAGAAACAACAAATAAAATGAATCATGAAGTCTCTGTAAATAATATGAGACCAAACATCAGACTGAAGACTTTTGTTGTCCAGTTTTTGGTAGAAAGAGAGAAAAGAGAAAAATCATCATCACAAGTTGTTGGGCTTGTTTTAATTTATCATATGTTTTATTTATTTGTTGGTTACTGTGTCAGGCCTAAGTACTGGTTTCTATAAAAACTAGTTACATTTATTTTCAAACAGTGCCATAAACCAAACACTGACATTCCTTTATGAAACACAAACACACCTGCAGGCTGCGGCGCAGGGTGAACACTTCAGAACCCAGAGCTGAGTTCTCCTGCAAGGCTTTGTCCTTCTGCTCTCTCTCACTGTTGGCCTCCTCCAGAGCCTGGGCCAGCTCACTGTCAAACCTGCAGCAACACACACACACACACACACACACACACACACACACGGACACAGGAGTTTGTTGGCTGTGAGGAAAAGTCTTATTACAGCAGTGAAAATGAAGATATTCAAAAACACGATGTAATTAGAAACACTATTAACAGGCTTTATGTAGTCATTAAACAGCCAGAGATGAAGCAGAGGAGCAGTGGAGCAACAAGGTGACGTGTGTCTGAAGGGAAGGTGAACCTTCTCTGTTTGCGCTCCAGTTCGTGCATGCGACTCTGCAGAGCATCGCTGAGTACTCTGGCATCCTGGAGGTCAGAGGTCACCCTGCGACAGTGGCGTTTCAGCTCCGACGCGCTCCTCCGAGACTGCTCCAGCTGGGCCTGCAGTGTTGCTACCTACACACACACACACACACACACAGACACGCGCACACAGGTGGTGTTACCTTGAGACATTAACATGCTGCTGTGCACGTCGGGGCGTCCCGCCTGACCTTGGTGTCGAGCTGCTGTCTGCTCTGCCTCTCCGTCTCCAGCTTCTCCTCCGTCTGCTTCAGGCGCCTGCGGACGAACTCCACCTCGGTCTGGCAACACTCCAGCTGCATGACCAGCTCGCCCTCTGAATGACGGGACACTCGGGCATCAGTTTGTCTGAGACTCAGTTCATTGAAACTTTGTCCCGTCAGGAGTTCCTGAGGTCAGGTCACCACGCTTTTCTTGAGTTTTAATATTAAATACCTTAATTCACAGTAACAAAGTGCCTGATGAAAGCTACAGTTTAAATCAGGAATAGTTGGGCTGGAGGATATGACTGAAAAACATTTCATGATATAAGGGTTTCATATCAGCCGAGGTGAATAATTACTGTTTAGTGATTTTTTTGTTTGTTTGTTTTAAATATCTAGTGACATGCCCCTTCTTGTCTTATCCACAGTTTTCACTTCATGTTGTTTATTTTTAAGCAGTTATGTGACAAAACCATAAAGGGGAAGTATTATGTATTTTCTATACATAGTAACATTTTATAGCACAATCAAGTAACTATGTTACCTTCATTTGTTATAAAAATGTTCTATGTATCAATGACTTCAACGAAATTTGACTTTGTAATTTGATGCCTTGAAATTTGGCCTCTGTCTCTTTAAAAACTGCTGCTCTGATGTGCAGTTACATCAGGTGTTTGCTAATTGCTGCTGGCTAGTCTGAAGGAGCTGAGTGGAGCTGCTCTGTGATGAGGAAGCTCTGAGGAGGAGCTTCACCTTGAAGGCGGAGCTAAGTCCACCCAGGCATTTTGCACAGCTGAATGGTTGTCAAGGAGATAAAAGAACTTTTCAAACATGCATGAAAGAATCAAAGCAACACTCCAGGTGTGTTTTTGATGAGGAAATTATAACATGATGTAAAACTCAAAGGAGGCCATTTCACATAACACTGCCCCTTTCAACTGCTGCTGCACATGTCACTCAACAGGCTGTTGCTAGGTAACCAAAGAGTGAGTTTGCTGATGCTGCCTCCATTGCTTAGCTGACCATGAGAGGTTGAGCAGCTAAAGCCTTCCCTCTGCCTACATCCCCCAGAATGCAGTGCAGTCTTGGTCAGATTTCAGCAAATATTCTACATGTTGAACCTTGAATATTGTATGAAATATATTATCTATTGATACTGATCACATGTCCATTGTGATATATATTGTTATTGATTTATAGTCCAGCCTTTTCTGCTGTTAAATCTCTCCATTCATGTTGTAACATTGCTGCACGTTTGGTCATTCAGCAGCCAAACCTCAGTGTGTTTTTGCTTTTTGTCTTGCCAGCAGACTTTCCTCTCGTACCTTTTGGAGCTCCTCTCTGACTTGCGGCAACTTGAGCTTTCTGCTTCTCCTCCTCCAGCTGCTTCTCCAGGGTTTCCATAGTAACCTTACACTGGTCCAGCCGAGTCTTCAGAAGTCACAAATTAAACAACAACAACAAAAAAAAAAGACGCAATCGCTCAGATTTTTTTTATTTGAATCGTTAAATTAAAATAGACAGCAGTCATCATGCAAGAAGTGTCAGGTGACTTAGTTAGCTGGCTCACCAGCAGGTCCTTGTTCTCCCGGCTGAGTCGAAGCCTCTCTGCCCTCTCCACATCCAGAGCCTGACCCACTGCATCGCCTCGGAAACGCTCATCGCTTAGCTCCGATGTCACAGCAGTAACCTGCACATATAGATCACATTAATAGTGGTGAGCGTTTGTGTGTGTGTGTGTGTTGCAGCTCTAACCTTGGTCTCCAGGCTGTCTGCTGTCTGCCTCAGCTCGTTCCTCTCCTTCTCAGACTTCTCCAGGCGGCGCCTCAGAGCCGACACCTCATCCTTTCAGAAAACAAAAGAGAAGCTTTTTACTGAGACACAAACATCCTTTAAGGCACATCACAAACATTTGCTGGATGAATTGCTGTTGCTTCTATATTGTTTCCCATCACTGAGATCAGCTGGTGTTAGATGTTTCTGTCAGATGCTGCAGCTCACTGTTGTTCTGTCTGTTTTTACTGTCACTTTAAAGAACAATGGCTATGTCTCTTTAAAAAAACATGACATTTTTCTAACTGAATTATTAGATCTCTAAGATGCATCATTATGGGGGCAGTACTTTCTCATCAGCCAGACAGGTTTCCTGGAAGGTTTGGATGTTTCTCCTCCATTAGCACTCTGAGTTTGAGGGGATCTTGTAAATAAATATGAACGTAAAACGATTCTTTAAAAGGATGTGAACTGAAAGAGGTCCATATGAAAGTCTGTACCTCCTTGGCTCTCAGCCTTTCGTTGTCCATGTTCACATCGAGCAGAGGACGCAGCCTGCAGAAAAGTTTCCACCAGCTCCATTCGGCTACGGCCTTCAGAACCCGCAGGTTCCTCTGCAGACACCTCACCGCCATCTGCTGCACCTGGAAATTAAACACACACACACACACACACACACACACAGGCAGAAACAGTACAGTAAAAAGTCTGAGGTAAAACCCAAAGCTGAGATCCTATAGTGAACTGATCTCATGACAGCAGGAAGTGAATGGATATCCTGGAGGCCAACTAAAACTCTGGAACTACATGAAGAGGTCCAGAGTTCAGAGTTTTAATTCAAAGATGTTTTCAAAATCCTCTATCAACTCATGAAGTCTCAGATGTCTTTGAAACTCCTACTGATACTAATCACTTATGTAGCCAACTTAATAGCTCTTGATTTATGTTGGAACCAATTTCAACTTCTATTCAAATGGCATTTATTGCTTAAAAACATCTGCATAATTTGTAAAAAGTGTTTCTAAATACAGATCAGAGTGAACTGGATTTTTTTTTTCTTTTTTTTTTTTTTTACAAACGTTCTTAGTGGAGGGAAAATGGATAGTTGAATATATTCAAGAATGTAAGCTGTATTTCCTTAACTGGTCCACTCAGAAAAAAGTTGTTACGCAACAGAATAAAACAATTAATAGAGCTGGCTGTGCACATTTTATATATCTGCAGTGTTTCACAAGAGGAGATTATGATGAAGTTTTTATGATCTGTAACTAAAAGTGTTTTTGTTTTAAAACTTCTTGAATCAACACACAAAAGTGCTTTAAAGATTCGCAACAAGAAATCCAGACAATATCATCGTTGTCATATTCTTTCTAATCTCATATTAGATAATATTCTTTCTAATAAGTAGGTTTTTTCTTTTACATTTTGAAAATCTGATATATTATGTACACTTTTATTTAGTTCATTAAACCCCCATGACATTCCTTCTGCGCCTGAAGAACCACTTTGAGATCAGATAACATGACTACAGGGCGCCCTCTAGAGGTGACTGAAGCATCCCAAAATCCAGGACTGTTTTTACCAAACTGCCTTCACTTTTGTTTTGAGTCATTCAAACAGCTTGAGATGATATAACATAATTATATCGTTATCTAGTTATAAAATATCTGCACATTGGGCAAAATTACAGATATTAAACCAGATTAGCACTTAATGTTGATGAAGGCAAAGAAATGGTTAAACTGCAGGTTTGTAGTTTGGTGATGTAGTTAATTATTGTGGTGACTTTTCACCAATTCATAACTTGATTAGGATCAGCCTGTTGCACGTTTTTGCTATAACCTGCTGCTGTGCATCTCATATCTCCTTCTGAAAAGTTAATGAAGTGTTATACAGTGTCTGTGTGTAAACAAAGAAGAGTAAAATAAAACAAATCACATGAAGGCTAAATATATAAATCTTTATCTTAAATAAATAAGAAATATGTTAATAATTAGTTTTCAATGAAATCTTTAGTATTTTCTACTGCAGAACATCAAGAATTATTTTATTTCTCCACCTTACAAATCAAATCATTCAGTGGGGATAACACCAACAGGTGGCTAATCTGCAGGGTGACCAATCAGGTATTAGTGAGGCCTAGCAGCAGTTTAAGTTTTTTTTCTTAATGTACAGAGAGCAAAAAAAAATCATTAAAAAATTTGAAGTTAATGTGTCTGATTTATGACAGAGTATTAGGGCTATTGTAGACACAAAAAAAGCAGGAGTACATTTTCAAGCTCAGAAATTAAGATTAATCTCAGAACTTTTCTTGAAAAAACTTGGAAATTTGGAGTGATATTATACTGTCTTGCTCTCTCAGTTTGTATTGAGACAGAAGGTGGATACTCCTGTATCAGAGCTCCGCCTGGAGCTCCTCACAGTGAACCGGACTGGAGCTCACCTTGAGTTTGCGGTACTTCTGACGTCCCAGATGTCCCTTGCAGGCGGCCTGCAGGTAAACCAGCCACCCGGTCACCTGCTGATCCCTCTGCTGCTCCAGGTATTGCAGCACACCTCGCTTCATAAACACCTGAGACCCAGCAGAGAAAAATAGATTTCAGTCATAACTGACTGACTCCTGTTGTGCCATCTGAGGGCTTCACACCCGCTCTCACCCTGCTGGCTCCGACCATGATGCTGTTTTTATCTACGTCCAGCTCAACCAGCAGCTCTTCCACGGCCTGACACACAAAGGAGAGGGAAAAAAAAGCAGATTCATTCTGAGTTTGTGATATTTTTGTTCATGTGAACTCCAGCGATTCACTTCTCTACCTTTCTCTCATCATGGCTGACAAACATGGAGGCGTAACGCTTCATAATCGGAGGAGAGAGAGCCTGGAAGTGACACCTGAAGTCACTGAGCGTCATGTGTTCTGGATAACCTGGAGAAGGACAGGAAAATATGGCTTTATATGCATTTCTGTTTTTAAATTTTTTATTGATTTAGAATCTTTTGACATTTCTATCTTTTTAAAGGAGTTATGGAATTATGCAAGTCTGTATTTATGTAATCAAATAATCAAAAGGGGCTCTGATGTAAAAACTATAAACTAACTCACTGATCACTTAAAAGAAAAAAGAAAAATCAGGGCAGCTCAGAAGAAAAAAAGTTCTAGCCTGAGTGTACACTATGATGGTGTCAAACTCATTTTCATATTGGGCCATTTAAGAACCTGAATGTTCTTAAAGGGACGGTTCCGCCAGAATATACTGATAAAACCAATCAAGCTGTTAAAATATCAGTAAATAGCTGTTCCTCCAGGATTTTGTGGTCTGGTTGAGGCAGCAGCCACTTAAACTCAATGTTTTTACCAACTTTGAGAAAATTTGAAGTAAAATCATATGTGATTTCAATTGTGTTTCTTATTTAATTGAAACACCACAATTGTGAAACTGTGTGTTTTCGACATTAGCAGAATATTAATAAAGTTTTGCGTACATTTTGTAATGGAAGTTTCCTGGAAGTTTGTTCTGGATTTGTGGAGCATAGAGACTGAATGTTTGGTTCCAGTCGTAGGAGTAGAGACAGCGATGTTACCTGTAGTAAACGTGCTTGTTGTACACACTAAAATAATGATGATGGCTATCATTTTACTCTAATTAAACACACACTCCCACAGTAAAACTAAGTAATCTCTCAATATTTTTTTGCATGAAATTTCTCCTTGTTTTGTTCATGTAATGTCCCCTCACATATTCAGAAACAATATTTCTTTGTTCATATCAATGAAAAAATTATTTTCCATTTTTGGGAAGAGTAATTTTGGGTTATAGTCTGATCACTGCATAACTGACAGAACCTGGTGAGTAACCAGTCAGATGTAGGTTGTTCTGTTTGATGTCTCTGAACATCTTAACTCCTGTGTTTGTCCGTGAAGCTGGTCTGACATGAAGGGCCGACCTGTGCGGTAGAGCTGCAGGGCCGACAGGATCTGGGTGGAATGCAGCTGCACTCTGAGAGCCGGCACGTCCAAACCACCGCTGCTCGATTTTGCGCTGACACACTGCAGGAACACCGGCCTGGCTCGGCGGATCAGGTTCACCAGCGCATCCTGCAGGACCGCGAGACGATGACAGCCGTCACGCTTCTGGGGTGACGTCAGAACGTGGTGACGGTAGCGCCATACGTACCGCCTGCAGCTTCACTGCTATACACTGGGAGTGTCTGCGTATGGCCGCCATCCCACCGCTGAAGGTTTTCCGGATGATTCCGTTCCGCTGCAGGGCGCGCTGGCTGCCTCCCTCCAACCCGGCCAGGCCACGGCACAGAGGGGGCAGGGAGATCCTGGGGGTGAACATGGCCTTCACCACGCCTCTGAGGAAGGACAAGAGAGGAGCTCAGCACACGTTCGAAAACGACGAGGCAGCTGTAATCCAAATATATGACACTTCATCAGAGCAGACAGAGCATCTGCATAGCATAGCATGGGGTTACGCTTTGTTATAAATGGCACATTGCTGCCACTTTGAGTTGGACTTGTGTTGATTCAGCAGCAACACAAGTTTAAAAGCTCACACTGGTGGATGTTTAGGGTGTCAAAAAGAAAAATGAACGGTTTCCCAGAAGTGTAGGAGGTATGGGTGAGCATTGTGTTTTTTGTGGTACTATTGTGATGATAAAAATTATGACACTGAAAACCCCGTCCTACATCAAACACTTCTTATAGAAAATTGGGAGTTTTTTCAAAATTGATATCTTTCCATTAAGCAAATTTATATTTGTGATTTCAATTTGCATAGTTTTATGATTAATGGAAATGAAGCTACTGATGATCCATCCAATAGTCTCCAGCCGAGTTTCCATTACAAATGTGCACAAAACATTTTTAATATTTTGCTAATGTAAAACAAAACAACAACACAATTTTGCAATTGTGGTGTTTCCATTAAAAAAGAAAACTTAAATTCAGAATTCTGCCATGGCGCCAGCACT